ACTACATGAATGAGGTCAGTCCTGGTCAGGTCAGGATTTGTATCTAAGTCTTCCCTGCGCTATTCAGCACCATTTTGTCTGTATCGAAATGCACATTGCTTGTTGAGATTCTACTGTCCATTCAGTCCTTTTCATCACATTGCGGATCCTCGATTATTATGTACATCGCCCAACTGGGCAAGTAACATAGACAGAGCACAACCAATCTGTCCAGGAGCGATCTGATGCTGCATTCAGCAGCAAGAGCACATTGTCTTTGCCTGCCTCCCTTTCTGTCTGTCTGTCTGTCTGTCTGTCTGTCTGTCTCTCTCTCTCTCTCTCTCTCTCTCTCTCTCTCTCTCGCGCGCGCGCGCGCGCGCGTACACGCGCTCGCACACACACACAGACATTGCATCTTCTAATATATTGCCTATTGGTATCCTTTTTGTTTTATGGATGGTTTGTGATGATTTGTGGTTGGAATAAGAGAGAGCATTTGGGGATCTTTTAAAGACACATTCCCGTCTTGCTAGCTCTCTGTCCTGGCAGAATTGAGCTCTTAGGATCAGGCTCGTACTAGTGAGCTATTCGTCTTTTGTGGTTGGAGTTTTGTTCATGTCATTTGTTTATATACATAGCCTAATTCTTTGCCGTGCTTTATGGCATAGGCTGTCTTTTTGATGAAGGAATGTCTGTGGGTGGCCACAATTGTTTTTGGGGTTGGAATGTATGTTTGCACGGTAATACCGTATCTTCACGAGGAGGCTCAGAAAGTGTTTGCTATGGGTGTCATTCCCACGTGCTGCTCTTTTGGGGCACATGGAAGAAACAGGCGCTTCCAGGGTGTTTTAAGCAAGAACGCTCATGGTGTTGCATGGAGATTTTGTGAAGTTTGGTATGATTTATGGTGGCTTGTGGGCTGACCAAGATGCAAGGATCCTGACTCAACTTCACTTGCTGGAGTGTACCAGATAGCATGCATGTAATACTGGTCACACACATTGAATTGACTCACACAAAATTCAATGGAGAATGAGTGGGAACCAGGAAACACAACTCGATTAACAAACCAGATTGAAGAAAGAGAATCACGAGTTGAGAATGTACAGTGCCCAACAGTATTACAAGTCCTCTCTGGCCTGGCGCTCATCAGCCAGCAGCCAATCATCCAGCTCAGAGTTCAACAGGTAAGTTTCACCATAACTCGCTTCTCTCTCTTCTCTCCTTATCCTTCTTCTCTCTCGCTCTGTCTATAGTTCTGGTCTACGCACACTCACCATGCATGCACACTCCCTATCTCACGAGCATCTACTCTGAATACTACTCACTGGACTCTTCTACTAATTACCTCTACTAATGTACCGACTGGTGCTGGCGCAGCTATGGCTGCCTTCCTTGCAGCCAGCGCCCCACTTCTCTCTCTCACACGTAGCGCTGCTCACAGCCTAGTGCAGCTCACACACAACTGGCGCACAATTGCCACGACACTTCCACACTCTCATGCGAAATGAGCGTCTGTCCAATGAGGAGGCTGGCCAGTCCATCATAGTGCTGGACTGGTCTGGCGAGGTCTGAATTCGGCCTCCAAGTGTCTGGGACTCCTGCCCAGTACCTGTTGTTGCAAAGTGCGTGTCCCAGTATCTTTTCCCATGGTCTGCTGCTGCTTCGGGCCATCAGGCCTGACTTTTGGACTCCTGGTCTGAATCAGGACTGACCCGTGGGACTGTGACTGGACTGGGACTGTGGCCTTCGTCTTATTGCCGAACAGACATGACCCTAACTCAGTCGTGAAATCTGTGCCCAATACCTGTTCGTCCAGGACCTGTTCGTGACTATTCAAAACAACATTTCATTTATGGATGCGACACTTGCCTCAGGAACTTGTCTTTTGGAATGTTGCTCGTGAAATTGAGTTCAGGCCGAGCGGGCCCCTTTACGCTGGGGTCACAATTACGGGTCTGAATCGTAAAGGCCCTTTTGCTCTCGCCGGCCTAATTTCGAAGTCCTCTAAGAAACTCTTATCTGTCCACAGCATTGACACCTTTCCTTGCTCGTTCATAGTAAGATACTATGTTAGGTGCAGACTCCATTAGCTCTTCTCTACTGTACCAGCGGTCTTCACTTA